GAGCCACTGCTCTCAACTTCCTTAGACTCTACTAACAAGTATGGGGCCACTGCTCTCAAATTCCTTAGACTCCCCTAGGAGTATGGGGCCACTGCTCTCAAGATTCTTAGACTCTACTAACAAGTATGGGGCCACTGCTCTCAACTTCCTTAGACTTCCGAGGAGTATGGAGCCACTGCTCTCAAGTTCCTTAGACTCTACTAACAAGTATGGGGCCACTGCTCTCAACTTTTTAGACTTCCGGAGGAGTATGGAGCCACTGCTCTCAAGACTTCCTTAGACTCTACTAACAAGTATGGGCCACTGCTCTCAACTTCCTTAGACTCCCGGCGGAGTATGGGGCCACTGCTCTCAACTTCCTTAGACTCTAACTAGTATGGAGCCACTGCTCTCAACTTCCTTAGACTCTCTAACAGTATGGGCCACTGCTCTAAACTTCCTTAGACTCTACTAACAAGTATGGGGCCACTGCTCTCAACTTCCTTAGACTTCCGGAGGAGTATGGGGCCACTGCTCTCAACTTCCTTAGACTCTAGTAACAAGTATGGGGCCACTGCTCTCAACTTCCTTAGACTTCGGAGGAGTATGGAGCCACTGCTCAACTTCATTAGACTCTACTAACAAGTATGAGCCACTGCTCTCAACTTCCTTAGACTCTACTAACAGAGTATGGGGCCACTGCTCTCAACTTCCTTAGACTTCCCTAGGAGTATGGGGCCTGCTCTCACTTCTACAAGTTTTTAGACTCTGCTTACTAACAAGTATGGGGCCACTGCTCTCAACTTCCTTAGACTCTGGAGGAGTATGGGGCAAGTTCCTTAGACTCTACTAACAAGTATGGGGCCACTGCTCTCAACTTCCTTAGACTCGGAGGAGTATGGAGCCACTGCTCTCAACTTCCTTAGACTCTACTAACGAGTATGGGCCACTGCTCTCAACTTCCTTAGACTTCCGGAGGAGTATAGAGCCACTGCTCTCAAGTTCCTTAGACTCTACTAACAAGTATGGGGCCACTGCTCTCAACTTCCTTAGACTTCCGGAGGAGTATGGAGCCACTGCTAAAGATCCTTAGACTCTACTAGCGAGTATGGGGCCACTGCTCTCAACTTCTTAGACTCCGGAGGAGTATGGGGCCACTGCTCAAATTCAGACTTACTACCAAGTATAAACTCTCAACTTCTTAGACTCCCGGAGGAGTATGGGGCCACTGCTCTCAACTTCCTTAGACTCTACTAACAAGGGGGCCACTGCTCTCAACTTTCTTAGACTCCCGGTGGAGTATGGACCCACTGCTCTCAACTTCCTTAGACTCTACTAAGAAGTATGGGGCCACTGCTCTCAACTTCCTTAGACTCCCGGAGGAGTATGGAGCCACTGCTCTCAACTTCCTTAGACTCTACTAACAAGTATGGGGCCACTGCTCTCAACTTCCTTAGACTCCCGGAGGAGTATGGGGCCACTGCTCTCAACTTCCTTAGACTCTACTAACAAGTATGGGGCCACTGCTCTCAACTTCCTTAGACTCCCGGAGGAATTATGGAGCCACTGCTCTCAACTTCCTTAGACTCTACTAACAAGTATGGGGCCAACTTCCTTAGCTCTCAACTTCCTTAGACTTCCGGAGGAGTATGGGGCCACTGCTCTCAACTTCCTTAGACTCTACTAACAAGTATGGGGCCACTGCTCTCAACTTCCTTAGACTCCCGGCGGAGTATGGAGCCACTGCTCTCAACTTCCTTAGACTCTACTAACAAGTATGGGGCCACTGCTCTCAACTTCCTTAGACTCTCCTAAAGTATGGGCCACTGCCACTGGCCACTCTACTCTCAACCACTGCTCTCAACTTTAGACTCCCGGCGGAGTATGGGCCACTGCTCTCAAGTTCCTTAGACTCTACTAGCAAGGAGTATGGGGCCACTGCTCTCAACTTCCTTAGACTCTCAACTAGGAGTATGGAGCCACTGCTCTCAAGTTCCTTAGACTCTACTAACAAGTATGGGGCCACTGCTCTCAACTTCCTTAGACTCCCGAGGAGTATGGGGCTCTACTCAACTCCTTAGATTCTGCTAACAAGTATGGGGCCACTGCTCAACTTCCTTAGACTCCCGGAGGAGTTGGGGCCACTGCTCTCAACTCTTTAGACTCTGCTAACGGGGCCACTGCTCATGGAGCCACTGCTCTCAACTTCCTTAGACTTACCGGAGGAGTATGGAGCCACTGCTCTCAAGTTCCTTAGACTCTACTAACGAGTATGGGGCCACTGCTCTCAACTTCCTTAGACTTCTCGGACTAGTAAGGGGCCACTGCTCAAACTTCCTTAGACTCTACTAACGGAGTATGGAGCCACTGCTCTCAACTTCCTTAGACTCCCGGAGGAGTATGGGGCCACTGCTCTCAAGTTCCTTAGACCTACTAGCGAGTATGCCAACTGCTCTCAACTTCCTTAGACTCTACTAACAAGTATGGGGCCACTGCTCTCAAGTTCCTTAGACTCCCCGAGGGGTATGGACCCACTGCTCTCAAGTTCCTTAGACTCTACTAACAAGTATGGGGCCACTGCGCTCAACTTCCTTAGACTCTACTTGCGAGTATGGGGGCCACTGCCCCAAGGACTCTACTAGTATGGAGCCACTGCTCTCAAGTTAGATTCTAATGACTCAACTAACTCTACTAACAGTATGGGGCCACTGCTCTCAACTTCCTTAGACTCCCGGTATGGGGCCACTGCTCTCAATTCCTTAGACTCTACTGGGGGCCACTGCTCTCAACTTCCTTAGACTCTACTAACAAGTATGGGGCCACTGCTCTCAACTTCCCTTAGACTCCCCCAGGGAGTATGGGGCCACTGCTCTCAACTTCCTTAGACTCTGCCGGAGGAGTATGGGGCCACTGCTCTCAACTTCCTTAGACTCTACTAAGTATGGGGCCACTGCTCTCAACTTCCTTAGACTCTACTAACAAGTATAGAGCCACTACTCTCAAGTTCCTTAGACTCTTAGACTGCTCTCAACTTCCTTAGACTTACGGATGAGTATGGAGCCACTACTCTCAACTTCCTTAGACTCTACTAACAAGTATGGGGCCACTGCTCTCAACTTCCTTAGACTTCCGGAGGAGTATGGAGCCACTGCTCTCAACTTCATTGATCCTTTAGGGGCTCTGCTAACTTCTTAGACTTACGGAGGAGTGGGGCCACTGCTCTCAAGTTCCTTAGACTCTACCTAACAAGTATGGGGCCACTGCTCTCACTCCGGAGGAGTTCAATGCTCTCAAGTTCCTTACTCTACTAGCGAGTATGGGGCCACTGCTCTCAACTTCCTTAGACTCTACTAGCGGGTATGGGGCCACTGCTCTCAAGTTCACAGTATGACTTCAACTTCCTTAGACTATGGGGACACTGGAGCCACTCAAGTTCCTTAGACTCTACTAACAAGTATGGGGCCACTGCTCTCAACTTCCTTAGACTCTCCTAGGAGTATGGGGCCACTGCTCTCAAGTTTCTTAGACTCTACTAACAAGTATGGGGCCACTGCTCTCAACTTCCTTAGACTTCCGGAGGAGTATGGAGCTCTACTAACTGCTCCCAAGTTCTACTAACGAGGATGGGGACTGCTAACTTCCATAGACTCCTGGAGGAATATAAATACTGCTCTCAACTTCCTTAGACTTCTACTAGCGAGTATGGGGCCATCACTCAACTTCTCTCAACTTCCTTAGACTCCCTTAGATTCTGCTAACGAGTATGGGGCCACTGCTTTCAACTTCCTTAGACTCCTAACGGAGTAGGAGCCACTGCTCTCAACTTCCTTAGACTCTACTAACAAGTATGGAGCCACTGCTCTCAACTTCTTAGACTCCCCGAGGAGTAACAAGTACTGGGGTCCCAGATTGCTCTCAACTTCAACTTTAGACTTCCGGAGGAGTATGGAGCCACTGCTCTCAAGTTCCTTAGACTCTACTAACAAGTATGGGGCCACTGCTCTCAACTTCCTTAGACTCCCGGAGGAGTGGGAGCCACTGCTCTCAAGTTTCTTAGACTCTACTAACAAGTATGGGGCCACTGCTCTCAACTTCCTAGACTTCCGGAGGAGTATGGAGCCACTGCTCTCAAGTCCTTAGACTCTAATAACAAGTATGGGGCCACTGCTCTCAACTTCCTTAGACTCCCGGCGGAGTATGGAGCCACTGCTCTCAAGTTACTAACTTAGACTCTACTAACAAGTATATGGGGCCACTGCTCTCAACTTCCTTAGACTCCCGGAGGAGTATGGAGCCACTGCTCTCAAATCCCTTAGACTCTAGTAACAAGTATGGGGCCACTGCTCTCAACTTCTTAGACTCCCGGAGGAAGTATGGAGCCACTGCTCAACTCCTTAGAGGAGTCCTTAGACTCTACTAACAAGTATGGGGCCACTGCTCAACTTCCTTAGACTCCCCGAGGAGTATAAAGCCACTGCTCTCGTCCCTTAGACTCTACTAACAAGTATGGGGCCACTGCTCTCAACTTCCTTAGACTTCCGGAGGAGTATGGGGCCACTGCTCTCAAGTTTCTTAGACTCTACTAACAAGTATGGGGCCACTGCTCTCAACTTCCTTAGACTTCCGGAGGAGTATGGGGCCACTGCTCTCAACTTCCTTAGACTCTACTAACAAGTATGGGGCCACTGCTCTCAACTTCCTTAGACTCTGCTTCCTTAGGGAGTATGGAGTATTTCTGCTCTCAAGTTCCTTAGACTCTACTAACGAGTATGGGGCCACTGCTTCAACTTCCTTAGACTCCCCGAGGAGTATAGAGCCACTACTATCGTCCCTTAGATTCTGCTAACGAGTATGAGGCCACTGCTCTCAACTTCCTTAGACTTCCGGAGGAGTATGGAGCCACTGCTCTCAAGTTCCTTAGACTCTACTAACAAGTATGGGGCCACTGCTCTCAACTTCCTTAGACTTCCGGAGGAGTATGGGGCCACTGCTCTCAAGTTCCTTAGACTCTACTAGCGAGTATGGGGCCACTGCTCTCAACTTCCTTAGACTCCCGGCGGAGTATGGAGCCACTGCTCTCAAGTTCCTTAGACTCTACTAGCGAGTATGGGGCCACTGCTCTCAACTTCCTTAGACTCCCGGCGGAGTATGGAGCCACTGCTCTCAAGTTCACTGCTCTCTGCTAACTCTAGTATGAGGGCCACTGCTCTCAACTTCCTTAGACTTCCGGGAGGAGTATGGGGCCACTGCTCTCAAGTTTCTTAGACTCTACTAACAAGTATGGGGCCACTGCTCTCAACTTCCTTAGACTCCCGGAGGAGTATGGAGCCACTTAGCTCTCAAGTTCCTTAGACTCTACTAACTCCCGGCGTATGGGGCCACTGCTCTCAACTTCCTTAGACTTCCGGAGGAATATGGGGCCACTGCTCTCAAGTTCCTTAGACTCTACTACCCCCGAGGAGTATGGGGCCACTGCTCTCAACTTCCTTAGATTTTCTTAGACCACTGCTCCAAATTCCTTAGACTCCCCTAGGAGTATATGGGCCACTGCTCTCAAACAAGTTCCTTAGAACTCTACTAGCCGGAGTATGGGGCCACTGCTCTCAACTTCCTTAGACTCTGGAGGAGTATGGGGCCACTGCTCTCAACTTCCTTAGACTCTACTAACAAGTATGGGGCCACTGCTCTCAACTTCCTTAGACTCCCTGGAGGAGTATGGGGCCACTGCCACTACTATCGTCCCTTAGACTCTACTAACAAGTATGGGGACACTGCTCTCAACTTCCTTATACTCCCGGCGGAATATGGAGCCACTGCTCTCAAGTTCCTTAGACTCTACTAACGAGTATGGGGCCACTGCTCTCAACTTCCTTAGACTCCCGGCGGAGTATGGAGCCACTGCTCTCAACTTCCTTAGACTCTACTAACAAGTATGGGGCCACTGCTCTCAACTTCCTTAGACTCCCGGCGGAGTATGGAGCCACTGCTCTCAAATTCCTTAGACTCTACTAGCGAGTATGGGGCCACTGCTCTCAACTTCCTTAGACTCTAATAACGAGTATGGGGCCACTGCTCTCAACTTCCTTAGGACTCCCCGAGGGTATAGAACCACTGCTCTCAACCCTTAGATTCTACTAACAAGTATGGGGCCACTGCTCTCAACTTCCTTAGACTCCCGGCGGATAAGACCACGGAGGAGTCTATGGAGCCACTGCTCTCAAGTTCCTTAGACTCTACTAACGAGTATGGGGCCACTGCTCAACTTCCTTAGACTCCCGGAGGAGTATGGGGCCACTGCTCTCAAGTTCCTTAGACTCTACTAACGAGTATGGGGCCACTGCTCTCAACTTCCTTAGACTCCCGGAGGAATACTGGTCCCTTAGATTCTGCACTGCTCTCAAGTTCCTTAGACTCTACCCTTAACTCTCATTAGAGTATGGGGCCACTGCTCTCAACTTCCTTAGACTCCCCTAAATATGGGGCCACTGCTGCTCTCAAGGTTCCTTAGACTCTACTAACAAGTATGGGGCCACTGCTCTCAACTTCCTTAGACTCACCGGAGGAGTATGGAGCCACTGCTCTCAAGTTCCTTAGACTCTACTAGCGAGTATGGGGCCACTGTTTTCAACTTCCTTAGACTCCCCTCCCTTGGAGTATGAGCCACTGCTCTCGTCCTTAGATTCTGCTAACAGAGTATGGGGCCACTGCTCTCAACTTCCTTAGACTCTCCTGAGGAGTATGGAGCCACTGCTCTCAAGTTCCTTAGACACTACTAACGAGTATGGGGCCACTGCTCTCAACTTCCTTAGACTCCCGGCGGAGTATGGAGCCACTGCTCTCAAGTTCCTTAGACTCTACTAACGAGTATGGGGCCACTGCTCTCAACTCCTTAGACTTCTGCTAGGAGTATGGAGCCACTGCTCAAGTCAACTTCCTTGCTCTCAACTTCCTTAGACTCCGGCGGAATATGGAGCCACTGCTCTCAACTTCCTTAGACTCTACTAACGAGTATGGGGCCACTGCTCTCAACTTCCTTAGACTCCCGGAGGAGTATGGAGCCACTACTCTCAACCTTAGATTCTGCTAACAGTATGGGGCCACTGCTCAACTTCCTTAGACTCTCCCGGAGGAGTTGGGGCCACTGCTCTCAACTTCCTTAGACTCTACTAGCGGAGTATGGTGCCACTGCTCTCAAGTTTTGACTCTACTAGCGAGTATGGGGCCACTGCTCTCAGACTCCTTAGACTCTGGACTACTAGGAGTATGGGGCCACTGCTCTCAAGTTCCGGCGGAGTATACTCTGCTCAAGTCCCGAGTCTACTAACAAGCCACTGCTCAACTTCCTTAGACTTAGACTCCCGGCGGAGTATGGGCCACCAACTTCCTAGCTCTCAGGAGTTTTGCTCTCAAGTTCCTTAGACTCTACTAGCGAGTATGGAGCCACTGCTCTCAACTTCCTTAGACTCCCCGAGGAGTATGGAGCCACTACTCTCGTCCCTTAGATTCTGCTAACGAGTATGGGGCCACTGCTCTCAACTTCCTTAGACTTCCGGAGGAGTTCCGGGAGACTCTACTAACAAGTATGGGGCCACTGCTCTCAAGTTCCTTAGACTCTACTAATAACAGGAGTATGGGGCCACTGCTCTCAACTTCCTTAGACTTCCGGAGGAGTATGGGGCCACTGCTCTCAAGTTCCTTAGACTCTACTAACAAGGTATGGGGCCACTGCTCTCAACTTCCTTAGACTTCCCGGCGGAGTATGCTCTCAACTTCAGCTCTCAAGTTCCTTAGACTCTACTAGCGAGTATGTGGCCACTGCGTTCAGCTTCCTTAGACTCCCCGAGGAGTATAGAGCCACTACTCTCGTCCCTTAGATTCTGCTAACGAGTATGAGGCCACTGCTCGCAACTTCCTTAGACTTCCGGAGGAGTTGGGGCCACTGCTCTCAAGTCCCTTAGACTCTACTAACAAGTATGGGGCCACTGCTCTCAACTTCCTTAGACTTCCGGAGGAGTATGGGGCCACTGCTCTCAAGTTCCTTAGACTCTACTAGCGAGTATGGGGCTACTGCGCTCAACTTCCTTAGACTCCCGGCGGAGTATGGAGCCACTGCTCTCAAGTTCCTTAGACTCTACTAGCGAGTATGGGGCCACTTCTCGCAACTTCCTCAGACTCCCCTAACAAGTATAGAGCCACTACTTACTCGTCCCTTACATTTTGCTAACAAGTATGGGGCCACTGCTCATAACTTCCTTAGACTCTACGGAGGAATATTGGGGCCACTGCTCTCAAGTTCCTTAGACTCTACTAGGAGTATGGGGCCACTGCTCTCAAGTTCCTTAGACTCTACTAACAAGTATGGGGCCACTGCTCTCAACTTCCTTAGACTCCCCAAGTATGGGGCCACTGCTCTCAAGTTCCTTAGATTCTGCTAACGAGTATGGGGCCACTGCTCTCAACTTCCTTAGACTCCTGGAGGAGCATGGGGCCACTGCTCTCAACTTCCTTAGACTCTACTAGCAAGAGTATGGGGCCACTGCTCTCAACTTCCTTAGACTCCCCGAGGAGTATGGGGCCACTGCTCTCAACTTCCTTAGACTCTGCTAGGAACTATAGAGCCACTGCTCTCAACTTCCCTTAGACTTCCTAAGGAGTATGGAGGCCACTGCTCTCAAGTCCCTTAGACTCTACTAACAAGTATGGGGCCACTGCTGCTCAACTTCCTTAGACTTCCGGAGGAGTATGGGGTTCCTTATACTCCACTGACTCCCGAGGAGTCCAAGTCCCTTAGACTCTACTAACAAGTATGGGGCCACTGCTCTCAACTTCCTTAGACTCCCGGCGGAATATGGAGCCACTGCTCTCAAGTTCCTTAGACTCTACTAGCGAGTATGAGGCCACTGCTCAAACTTCCTTAGACTCCCCGAGGAGTATAGGAGCCACTGCTCTCGTCTCCTTAGATTCTGCTAACGAGTAGCATGAGGCCACTGCTCTCAACTTCCTTAGACTCCCGGAGGAGTTGGGTCCACTGCTCTCAAGTCCCTTAGACTCTACTAACAAGTATGGGGCCACTGCTCTCAACTTCCTTAGACTTCCGGAGGAGTATGGAGCCACTGCTCTCAAGTTCCTTAGACTCTACTAGCGAGTATGGGCTAACTGACTCCCTCAGGGAGTATCAGCCACTACTCTCCCGGATTCTACTAACGGAGCCACTGCTCTCAACTTCATTAGACTCTACTAGCGGAGTATGGGCCACTGCTCTCAAGTCCCTTAGACTCTACTAACAAGTATGGTGCCACTGCTCTCAACTTCCTTAGACTCCCCTAGGACTATGGAGCCACTACTTCCTTAGACTCAGCTAAGGAGTATGGGGCCACTGCTCAACGTCCTTAGACTCTACTAACGAGTATGGGCCACTGCTCTCAACTTCCTTAGACTTCTGGAGGAATATTGGGGCCACTGCTCTCAAGTTCCTTAGACTCTACTAGCGAGTATGGGGCCACTGCTCTCAAGTTCCTTAGACTCTACTAGGAGTATGGGGCCACTGCTCTCAAGTTCCTTAGACTCCCCTAAGGAAGTATAGAGCCACTACTATCGTCCCCTTAGATTCTGCTAACGAGTATGAGGCCACTGCTCTCAAATTTCTTGGACTGCCTCAAGAGAATCTATGGGGCCACTGCTCTCAAGTTCCTTAGACTCTACTAGCAAGTTCCACTGTATGGTATGGGGCCACTGCTCTCAACTTCCTTCCCCTTGACTCCCAAGACTATAGAGCCACTACTATTAATTCTGCTGAGGCCACTCAGGTCCCTTAGATTCTGCTAACGAGTATGAGGCCACTGCTCTCAACTTCCTTAGACTTCCGGAGGAGTATGGGGCCACTGCTCTCAAGTTCCTTAGACTCTACTAGCGAGTATGGGGCCACTGCTCTCAACTTCCTTAGACTCCCCGAGGAGTATAGAGCCACTACTATCGTCCCTTAGATTCTGCTAACGAGTATGAGGCCACTCCTTTCAACTTTCTGAGACTCTCGGAGGAATATCCGGCCACTGCTCTCAAGTTCCTTAGACTCTACTAGAGTATGGCCACTGCTCTCAACTTCCTTCTCCCCGAGGAGTATAGAGCCACTACTATCGTCCCTTACTTCTGCTAACGAGTATGGGGCCACTGCTCAACTTCCTTAGACTTCCGGAGGACTGGAGCCACTGCTCTCAAGTTCCTTAGACTCTACTAACAAGTATAATACTGCGTTCAACTTCCTTAGACTCCCCGAGGAGTATAGAGCCACTACTCTCTGTCACTTAGATTCTACTAACAAGTATGGGGCCACTGCTCTCAACTTCCTTAGACTTCCGGAGGAAGTTGGAGCCACTGCTCTCAAGTCCCTTAGACTCTAGTAACAAGTATGGGGCCACTGCTCTCAACTTCCTTAGACTTCCGGAGGAGCTCTCAACTTCCTTAGGGGCCACTGCTCTCAAGTTCCTTAGACTCTACTAGCGAGTATGGGGCTACTGCGCTCAACTTCCTTAGACTCCCGGCGGAGTATGGAGCCACTGCTCTCAAGTTCCTTAGACTCTACTAGCGAGTATGGGGCCACTGCTCTCAAGTTCCTTATACTCTACTAGCGAGTATGGGGCCACTGCTCTCAACTTCCTTAGACTCCCCGAGGAGTATAGAGCCACTACTCTCGTCCCTTAGATTCTGCTAACGAGTATGAGGCCACTGCTCGCAACTTCCTTAGACTCCCGGCGGAGTATGGAGCCACTGCTCTCAAGTTCCTTAGACTCTACTAGCGAGTATGGGCCCACTGCTCGCAACTTCCTCAGACTCCCCGAGGACTATAGAGCCACTACTACCGTCCCTTACATTCTGCTAACGAGTATGAGGCCACTGCTCATAACTTCCTTAGACTTCCGGAGGAGTATTGGGCCACTGCTCTCAAGTTCCTTATACTCTACTAGCGAGTATGGGGCCACTGCTCTCAACTTCCTTAGACTTCCTGAGGAGTATAGAGCCACTACTATCGTCCCTTAGATTCTGCTAACGAGGATGAAGCCACTTCTTGCTTTCTCTGCTCTCAAGTTCCTTGACTCCCCTAGGAATATGGGCCACTGCTCTCAAGTTCCTTAGACTCTACCCGCGAGTATGGGGCCACTGCTCTCAATTCTGCTAACAGTAGACTCCCAACTTCCTTAGACTTCCGAGGAGTATGGAGCCACTGCTCAAGTCCCTTAGATTCTGCTAACGAGTATGGGGCCACTCCAACTTCCTTAGACTCCCGGTGGAGTATGGGGCCACTGCTCTCAAGTTCCTTAGACTCTACTAGCAGTATGTGGCCACTGCGTTCAGCTTCCTTAGACTCCCCGAGGAGTATAGAGCCACTAATCTCGTCCCTTCGATTCTGCTAACGAGTATGAGGCCACTGCTCGCAACTTCCTTAGACTTCCGGTGGAGTTGGTGCCACTGCTCTCAAGTTCCTTAGACTTACTGCCTCAACTTCCTTAGACTTCCGGAGTATGGGGCCACTGCGCTCAACTTCCTTAGACTCTACTAACAAGTATGGGGCCACTGCTCTCAACTTCCTTAGACTTCCGGAGGAGTATGGGGCCACTGCTCTCAAGTTCCTTAGACTCTACTAGCGAGTATGGGGCCACTGCTCTCAACTTCCTTAGACTCCTATAGACCTGCTACTCGTCCCTTAATTCTACTAGCGAGTATGGGGCCACTGCTCAACTTCATTAGACTGGAGGAGTATGGAGCCACTGCTCTCAAGTTCCTTAGACTCTACTAACAAGTATAAATACACTGCTCTCAACTTCCTTAGACTCCCCGGAGGAGTATGGGGCCACTGCTACCGTTTCAGACTCTGCTAACGAGTATGAGGCCACTGCTCATAACTTCCTTAGACTTCCGGAGGAATATTGGGCCACTGCTCTCAAGTTCCTTAGACTCTACTAGCGAGTATGGGGCCACTGCTCTCAAGTTCCTTATACTCTACTAGCGAGTATGGGGCCACTGCTCTCAACTTCCTTAGACTCCCCGAGGAGTATAGAGCCACTACTATCGTCCCTTAGATTCTGCTAACGAGTATGAGGCCACTGCTTTCAACTTTCTTGGACTCCCGGAGGAATATGCGGCCACTGCTCTCAAGTTCCTTAGACTCTACTTGCGAGTATGGGGCCACTGCTCTCAACTTCCTTAGACTCCCCGAGGAGTATAGAGCCACTACTATCGTCCCTTACATTCTGCTAACGAGTATGGGGCCACTGCTCTCAACTTCCTTAGACTTCCGGTGGAGTATGGGGCCACAGCTCTCAAGTTCCTTAGACTCTACTAGCGAGTATGTGGCCACTGCGTTCAGCTTCCTTAGACTCCCCGAGGAGTATAGAGCCACTACTCTCGTCCCTTAGATTCTGCTAACGAGTATGAGGCCACTGCTCGCAACTTCCTTAGACTCCCCGGGAGTTGGAGCCACTGCTCTCAAGTCCCTTAGACTCTACTAACAAGTATGGGGCCACTGCTCTCAACTTCCTTAGACTTCCGGAGGAGTATGGGGCCACTGCTCTCAAGTTCCTTTAGACTCTACTAGCGAGTATGGGGCATGGAGCCACTGCTCAACTTCCTATGGAGCCACTGCTCAAGTTCCGGCGGCGAGTATGGACTCCACTGCTCTCAAGTTCCTTAGACTCTACTAGCGAGTATGGGCCACTGCTCAAGTTCCTTAGACTTACTAGCGAGTATACTCTACTTAGACTCCCGGAGATTGCTCAAGTTCCTTAGACTCTAGTAACGAGTATGGGGCCACTGCTCTCAACTTCCTTAGACTCCCCGAGGAGTATAGAGCCACTGCTCTCAAATCCCTTAGATTCTGCTAACAGTATGGGGCCACTGCTCTTTCCTTAGACTCTAGTAACAGTATGGGGCCACTGCTCTCAAGTTCCTTAGACTCTACTAGCGAGTATGGGCCCACTGCTCTCAACTTCCTTAGACTCTACCTAGGACTATGGGGCCACTACTACCGTCCCTTAGATTCCCGGCGGGAGTATGAGAGCCACTGCTCTCAAGTTCCTTAGACTCTCCGGAGGAGTATGGGGCCACTGCTCTCAAGTTCCTTATACTCTACTAGCGAGTATGGGGCCACTGCTCTCAACTTCCTTAGACTCCCCGAGGAGTATAGAGCCACTACTATCGTCCCTTAGATTCTGCTAACGAGTATGAGGCCACTGCTTTCAACTTTCTTGGACTCCCGGAGGAATATGCGTCCACTGCTCTCAAGTTCCTTAGACTCTACTTGCGAGTATGGGGCCACTGCTCGCAACTTCCTTAGACTCCCCGTGGAGTATATAGCCACTACTATCGTCCCTTACATTCTGCTAACGAGTATGGGGCCACTGCTCTCAACTTCCTTGACTTCCCTGGTTCCTTATAATCTATCCACTAGAGTATGGGGCCACTGCTCTCAAGTTCCTTAGACTCTACTATCGCGAGTATGTGGCCACTGCGTTCAGCTTCCTTAGACTCCCCGAGGAGTATAGAGCCACTACTCTCGTCCCTTAGATTCTGCTAACGAGTATGGGGCCACTGCTCGCAACTTCCTTAGACTTCCGGAGGAGTTGGTATAGCCACTGCTATCAAGTCCCTTACATTCTACTAACAAGTATGGGGCCACTGCTCTCAACTTCCTTAGACTTCCGGAGGAGTATGGGGCCACTGCTCTCAAGTTCCTTAGACTCTACTAGCGAGTATGTGGCTACTGCGGTCAACTTCCTTAGACTCCTCGAGGGAGTATAGAGCCACTACTGCTCGTCCCTTAGATTCTGCTTATGACTTCCTTAGACTAACGGAGTATGGGGCCACTGCTCAAGTCCCTTTAGACTCTACTACCACTTCCTTCCTAGACTTCCGGAGGAGTATGGGTCCACTGCTCTCAAGTTCCTTAGACTCTACTAGCGAGTATGGGGCTCTACTCAACTTCCTTAGAACTCCCTGGCGGAGTATGGAGCCACTGCTCTCAAGTTCCTTAGACTCTACTAGCAGTATGGGGCCACTTCTCTCAACTTCCTTAGACTCCCCGAGGAATATAGAGCCTACTACTGTCCCATTCTGCTAACGAGTAGACTGCTCATAACTTCCTAGACTTCTGGAGAATATTGGGCCACTGCTCTCAAGTTCCTTAGACTCTACTAGCGAGTATGGGGCCACTGCTCTCAACTTCCTTAGACTCCCCGAGGAGTATAGATCCACTACTATCGTCTCTTAGATTCTGCTAACGAGTATGAGGCCACTGCTCTCAACTTCCTTAGTCTTCTGGAGGAGTATGGGTCCACTGCTCTCAATTTTTTTAGACTCTACTAGCGAGTATAGAGCCACTACTATCGTCCCTTACATTCTGCTAACGAGTATGGGGCCACTGCTTTCAACTTTCTTAGAATCTCGGAGGAATATGGGGCCACTGCTCTCAAGTTCCTTAGACTCTACTAGCGAGTATGGGGCCACTGCTCTCAAGTTCCTTAGACTCTACTAGCGAGTATGTGGCCACTGCGTTCAGCTTCCTTAGGCTCCCCGAGGAGTATGGAGCCACTGCTCTCAAGTGCCTTAGAATCTACTAGTGTGTATGGGGCCACTTTTTTCAACTTCCTTAGACTCCCCGAGGAGTATAGAGCCACTACTATCGTCCCTTACATTCTGCTAACGATTATGGTGCCACGGCTTTCAACTTTCTTAGATTCTCGGAGGAATATGGGGCCACTGCTCTCAAGTTCCTTAGACACTACTAGCGAGTATGTGGCCGCTGCTCTCAACTTCCTTAGACTTCCGGAGAAGTATGGGGCCACTGCTTTCAACATTCTTAGACTCCCGGAAGAATATGCGGCCACTGCTCTCAAGTCCCTTAGACTCTACTCGTGAGTATGTGGCCACTGCTTTCAACTTCCTTAGACTCTCCGGAAGAGAATGGAGTCACTGTTATCAAGTCCTTTAGATTCTACTAACGTGTATGAAGCTATTACTTTAGACTTAGTCTCCTCTGAGACGTATGGGGCCACTGCTTTCACGTTTTTTGTTTTTGTTTTTTGTTTTTTGTTTTTTTATTCAGGACGCACCTGTAGAATAAATGAAACACCGAGTCGCAATTTTATTAAGGAAAAAATATTTATGAATTTTGAAATTAGCATCCCGTTTAAAATATCAAATGAAAAAGACCGACTGGCGGTGGCCGGGCAGTGCTTTTGACCATTCATATCTTATCAACATTTGAATTATTCTATGTACATTTTTATACATTGAAAATTAAACCAAGCAGAACTGTCTATCAAAAAATCAAAAATTTTCAAAAATTTTGACGTCCATCTCAGGTATTTTTATCATCCAAATTCGTGAATTTGTTTTTCTCATAATAAGTCTCGAAAAAAAAACACTAAATAAAATTCACCACTTTTTATCCATAATGTTTCTTCAAAATTTCAACAAGAAAAATTCAAGTTGATGTTAAAAATTGCCATAAAACATTGCTGATTTATTAAAGATGGAATGATCTATTTTGACAGATCTCTAATTTGTATTTAGATACATTGGATTTATTTTCAATTTTTCTAAATGAATTGTTCACTTAAGTTACATATGATTGATTAATCAGGTTATAATAAAATATGTATTTTATAAAAATACTACCATATGAAAATTGAAATGATGTAGAGTGGGTTGCCCGTATCATAGATTCGGAGGGTGGAGGCACAAGAAGTCCTATTGGAGGCACAATCTTTCTTTAGTTCTTCTCAATCTAGGCCGGGTGTTATTAATTTCCTGTTAAGAAACAGCGATATCAGCTCAAACACGTCCACCCAGTAAAAATAACGGTTAGTAGTGTAATAATAATAATAATAATTATATATATATATATATATATATATATATATATATATATATATATATATATATATATATATATTCAAACATATGTAAAAATTTCAGATAGAGTATATCTGTAAAAGGATATTATGAATAAAGACAAAAGGAAAACTTATAAGATAAATTTCTAGGTATTTTGAAAAAAACAAAAACATTTTTGCTCTTGTATATTGATATCATCACCTTACATTTACTTTGATAAAGTGAACGGAACGTGTCGGGTAAGTTTTCCTTTAATCTTTATATATATATATATATATATATATATATATATATATATATATATATATATATGTGTGTGTGTGTGTGTGTGTATATATATATATATACATATATATATATAATAGCTGGCCACTCGTATTCGAGGATACCCGTCTACTACGGCGGCTGGCCAATCCCTAGTTCAGACGCTCGCTCAGGCACATTTGTGTTTGTTCAACACCCACAGAGCCAACCTGTGGTTTTTACTGCAATTATGCCGTGCAGACCTTAGTTACAGTTTCTGGGAGAGAGCCTGTTATCTAGTATGAGCAACAATCTGAATAAGGCCAGCACACTCAAACCATTGGTCTCGATAACTTGTCACTTCGTGCTAAAAAATATGGAAAGCCCCAGAAATATATATATATATATATATATATATATATATATATATATATATATATATATATATGAGTTAAAGATGAGGTGCATATCAAATAGTGATCGGAATCCGCCAGGATGATAAAATAATGAACAAATAGGAAACGAATATCAATCAAACATGTTTTCCTTTTCTTAAAACTTCCTCAGAGATTGAGAGAGACAAAGAGACAGAAATTCTGGTATTTTCAATTTTGTTTGTCTCAGTTCTCATTGGTCAAACACATGTCACATGTATCAAAACCATCGATAATTCTATATGCATGTAGGTTTTTGAAAATGCTTGTATATCTAAGTGGGCAAAGAATAGTAATGTGTATTTGTGATTGTGTATGTGTCTGACTAGTAGAAGTTCTAATGTCTTCACCTTTGTGCGGTCAACCGGTGCAGCGAGGTGTCATGATCTTTGGCTGATCGCTTTAAGCATGTATTCTATTTGGGTTCAAATGGATATTAATTTATGAGATATTAAGCTAAGATTTAAATTCAATCACGTGCAGGGAGAAATCAGATACCATGGTAAAAAAAATGATTTTTTTTTAATTTCAAAAAATAAATAAATGAAAATTGTGGATTAAAAGAAATAAAAAGAAAAAGAAAGTGCTTATTAATCAAATTGTGTGTGTGTATGTACATTGGAAATGGTGACTTATGAGGGTGTGATCTGTGTCTTTTGCAGTTCTGCTGGTGGTTGATAATGCCTGTACAAAACAGTTCTGCTACTGTGGCAGGTCAGGCAGGCAGAAGATTCTTTAATCATTGATAACTCCAGAAAGAGATGCCATGTGGAAGACATTATGCTGCCATGTTTTCAGGTTCTGTTGCCCACTGGTAGTAATCAATACCATCAGAGATGAGGGTCTTTTTCAGAAAGTCCTTGTATCTTTTCCTCAATGCCTACTCTCATTTCCCAGTCAGGAAACACAGGGCAGTAAAAATTCTTGATAGGTAATGGCCTACCATCTTCAACATACACAATTTCTAAGTTATTTTTCATGTATTATGGCATTTTAATGAAAAGTGTAAAATCTTTATGCGGTGAAACCACACTGCGGGGAGTTACATGTTTCTAATTCATGGCTGACATCTTTAGGTATGTATTCTTTCTATAAGTTTTGGATTTTAAAAAAATGGCGATGTTTTAGACGTGTCTTTATAGTTGATAACAACGTTATTATTAAGTTCTTTGAATCCATTCTTAAATAATCGAACTAGATGACCATGCGATTAAGGCGGCCTAAGAGCTTCCTAGATTTCTGCCTAGAATATGCAACTCGGATTATTTACAGGAAGAGAAGAAATGCATTGAAAACACTTTCAAACCTCTCAGTATCCTAATTATTTTATATTCAATTCGAAACAAAAGGCCCATAAAATATTTCAAACACGGCCCCTCCTGAGAAACCCAATGAATTCAACAAAATATATTATCCTGCCTACTAATTCTATCACATCTACAATAGAAAAGAATCTATTTAAACTTACCATAAATGTTTTTACTACTACATTCAAAACAATAAAAGACTTAGTCAATACTAAACAAAACAATAAGCTAAAACCTGGCGGAGGAGTTTACTCCATTGTCTGTACTAATTGTCACAAAAAATACATAGGAGAAACCTCAATGAATCTAGATAAAAAATTATATGAACACGAAAGGGACATTTTACAAAATAATACATCATTGACCACAATTTTGACATAAAAAATGCTACTCTGATCAAAGAAGAAAATAATCCACTACGACTGTAAATGTCTAGAGAGTGCCTTAATCGCAAGGTCATCCAAAGTAAATTCGCGCCTCGACTCTTACGGTATTTCACGATTCCTGGCAGATCTTCTATTATCACAGTGAGGAATACCTATTTACAAAAGTGGTGGAAAGAAAAAGAAAAAAAAACTCTAAATGGATTTGTCGAAATAAAAGTAAATTCTCAGCATCTCTCTGCCGTGTGCATGTGTAGTCCTGCCAACATAACAAATTTAGTCCGATGAAGTTCTGAAGATCGAAACACGTCACAAGTAAACTTTTCCACTTTGTCATAAAATTTCCCCAATACTGTTCTTGATATATATATATATATATATATATATATATATATATATATATATATATATATATATATATAAGATAATGAATGTCTATTATGTTTGATCATGTGCTGTTCTGAACTTCGTATGGTTGCTTTAATTTCGAGTGAAAATAAAAAAAATTTCCAATATTTGGATATTTTTTTTATTTCTTGATCTAAGCTTTCGGCTCAAATATTCCAGAGTGGTTATATGAACATTTAAACAAAGATTTTCACCATCAAAGATCATGATATTCTGTTAAGTTTGTGGTAAGTGGTAAGTATGCGACGATAACGAAAGCTTAGATCAAGGAACAGCTCAATAAAAAATATCCAAATGTTGCACAATTTTTGCCTTTATTTTCACCCGAAATTAAAGCAACCATACGAAGTTTAGAACGGCACATGATCAAACATAACAGACATTCATTGTCTGTGATATTTAACAATATATATATATATATATATATATATATATAGTACAGGTAAT